ATGTCTCGGCAGAAAAAGGATTCAACATTTGGGTACTAGGTGCAAGCCTCAATATCATCAGGCATGGAATGATCTTGGACAAATCATTAATGCCAATTTATCTCGAATTACCTGTCATATAGTATGCTGATTAAGTTGTGACATGCATTTACTCTTGTGGTTAATTAGTATGTCTGGGAAGTTCAAGTAATTGAGTGCAAAAAATTATTATTAGGGTGACCATCTGTTCAGAGCTACAACTAGTCATAGTTTTAGAGATGATATCGAGCTATCGAATCTGCCACTAAGCAGCATCTCATAACGCAAAATAATTGAAAGGCAGAAGTATTCTGCTTCATTCTATGTTTTATTTTATTTTTTATTAGGAAGTGATGATCCATCAAAAATGGTTATGGTACTTGGTGCAACAAATCATCCATGGGACCTTGATGATGCTATGCGTAGACGATTAGAAAAACGTATTTATATTCCATTACCAGATCTTGATACACGAAAGCAATTACTTGAAATAAATTTAAAAGAAGTTCCACTTGATACAGGTGTTGATTTAAATTTAATAGCTGAAAAACTTGAAGGATATTCTGGATCAGATATAACAAGTGTTTGTCGGTTAGTATAATGCATTATATTAATTTATATATTTATCATTTGAAAAAAAATCTAGAGATGCAGCAATGATGCAAATGCGTCGTGTAACTGAAAATTTAAGTATGACTGAAATACAAAATATAGCTCAAAATTTAAAAGAACAATTACAATTACCAACAAAAATGGAAGATTTTACAAATGCTATTTCGAAAATTTCATCATCTGTTTCAAAAGAAATGCTTGAAAAATATGATAAATGGATGAAAGATTTTGGTTCGGTTTAATTTTTTTGCTATTCTTTATATTTTTTTTGCGTCTAGTTTGCACTCTCTATTTATATTGTATTTACTAATATCATTAAAATACCTTTCTTTTCGACCAATGTCAGTTATTATATATTATTACTATTTCCTCTCTCTTTTTGACATCTATGGCAGTGCTGATAAGAATTCGTATGTTATGAAATAAATAAATAAATAACTATATGTATGTATGTACAAAAAAAGCACTATATTAAAACAAAAGCATTTCGGCTTTTAAAAACCACAAAAAAACACGACGTAATTATGTTTTTATTAATATTTTTTGTTGCAATAGTGATTGGTAAAATAATGTTTGTACATGGTTGATACTCGTTGAAGGACTGCTATTTTGTCTGTATGATTGGTTTGCCACGCTTCAATAGTATTTCACTTGTTACGCCTATATGCATTCGTTTACGAGGTATAAATAATACAGGCGTACAGATATATAAAACAAGTGTTGATATTTACATCCATCTATCATCAATCGAGTGTGTTTTTTTTGGTTTCTTCGCTCGGTTGGTTTTCTTTCTATTTAATACGTATACAATTTCTTGATTTACGCAGACCTAAATATTTTTCCAACTAAGCTTCAGGAATGTCTATGCAGCACATAGACCAGTTGCTGTTGTTAATATACCCTAGTGATATATATATTATATATATATATGTAAAGAAACGCACGACCCCATTTTGTGCCTCTTTTAACCGCATCCAAGGTCGTTTTTTTTTCCTTCTTTCCGCTACGAATAGAGATAGCATGCATGATAATTATATAGATACGAAAGAAAAAAGAGCAAAATAGTGGCTAAAATAATACAGCTGGAGATTTCTTTTGTTGATTATCTAACTGTGGCATTACTTATTGTTTGTTCGATTCTTGTCTCATATTCCTTCTCATAACTCGTTAGAACTAGCGAACATACGACATATCTTTCGAATATTGGCCGTCAACTGAAACCAAACAACACATTCTGTGGTTTATTAAAGGTATCAGATCGACTTTTACTAATAACAGCTACGTCCTCAGTTGATTGACACAAAGGCTGATTCAATTATTATTATACACACATACACGCACATATATATACGTATATATACATAAATATTCTTGCAATTTTTTCTTGCATATATCTCGTCCTTAGTTAAACCTGTATACAGCTAAAGGACGAGAAATTATTGTACGAAGAAAAAAGAAAAAAAAACAGCAAGAATAGAAATAAGAAATAGAAACCGTATAGAAGCCAATAGAAGATATAGATATCTTCTATGTTGACAATCAACTGTCGAACAAGGTTGGCCGTTGTATGAGATAGACTTGATGAAATGGTCATTGTTCGTACATATTGACATCAAGAATAGTAAAGCATAAAAGTCAACATCTTATGTTGCCTTACTAAGGGAAAGATATTTGTATGCATTATTAGATAGTATACAGTATAACATGGCGCTTTCCCCATTTTATTTCGTATTTATTCTATTTATATTATTGTCTACAGCTGATCCTACCGATGTAAGTAAATCAGAACAAGAAAATAAAAAGATCAAAACATTTTCATTATTTTTAAAGTTTGATTTGCAATGTCCAACACCTCGTCGTTTATTATCAGTTGGCTCATTAAAATCACCATTAGTAGAAAAGAAATCTTCTGATAGTTCTTCAGCTTCAAAATCATCATCACCACCAAAATATGCTCGTTCAATTGATTCACATGGTCTGACAGTTTATATTCGACCACAAACACCAAAAACATTTGGTCACAAAACTCCTTCATATAGTCATTTGCTTAAACCAAAATTGCGTACAAATAAAGAAACCTCAAAATTACTTCGGAATAAACAAACACCAAAACCACATACAACCAAACAAAAATCAAAATTAAAACTATCAAAAAAGGGAAAACAACGGTTGAAAAAGAAAAATTCTACAAAACATAAATCATCAATCAATACTAAAAGTAAAGAATTAGTAACTATTAATCATGATAAACTTCATCAATATCAAACATTATTTCATATTGATTCAACACCAAAAAATGATAAAAATATTAAAAAATCAAACAAATCTAAATCAAATAAACCAGCAATAGTATCTAAAATCAAAAATACTACAAGTAATATTAAAACTACAAAGAATATTACAGAAAACTTACCTAATAGAACAACACCTTTACCTATAAATGATAAAAAGACAAAAATTACAAAAAGAGATAATAAAATTAATACGGATGAGAAGAAAAAAACCAAAAAAATATTAATCAATAAAACGAGTGAGAATATATCTCTCACTCCATCTGTTAATGATAAACCAGCCTCAACTTCATCACCTTCTCCTTTGCCATCAACGATAGATACAAAATCTCAAGAAAAAAAACCAGAAACAATCAATATTATAAATGAAACAGTTGAGTCATCAAGTACACATGATGATGAAAATACATCAGTTATTGGTCGTGCTTATCATTTTGTTAAAAATATGTTTCAATTATCAGATGATTTTCTTAGTGATAATTATTCTCAAGAAAATCATATAGCCGATATGACAAGCGAACATCAACAATATCACTCTCGTAAATTACTTTCAACTGATGATGATAACATATCAATGATTATGAATAATGATATAAATGATAATGAATATGACCTTTATTCAAATGATGAAGCACTTGATATGGCAACTGATGAATTTTCATTTGTTGTAACAAGTATATCAAAACGTCAATTACTTTCTGTCAAAAGAAAGAAACACTTGAAAGTATCAAAATTTAATAATGAAAAAGAAAAAAAACCAGAATCAATAACTGATGTTAATGCAAATAAACCTAAAGTTGGTTGGGCTTATCGTTATCGAATTTCACGTTATCGTGATGCTCAAAAACTTAAACAAGTTAAAAATAAAAATAAAATAATAGGAGAAGGAAAACATAAACAACATTCCCAACAACGACAATCAAATTCAAAACAAAATCGTAAAAAAACAGATTCTTCACGTAGTAGAAAACTTTCAAAACGAAAACTTCTTAAACGTAATAATAATGACGATTCAAGTTGGGATAAAGATAAAATGTAAGTTTATATTATACTTAAAATTTATTATATTTTAAACGTTTTATGTGAGAAGCTTTTTTTTAAAAAATGAAACTAATTGATTCATAATGTTAACTAATCCTCAGCTGCGTAAACATGTCTCTTTACAAGATCTTTCATTTATACCAGAAAATTGAGTTGTAATAGGTTTTCTTTTTTTTTCGATCGATCAGCTAGTTTTCAATTGACAAGAATCAATGTTAAACATAAGAACATATTTCAACATTTCTCCTCAATATGTTAGCCTTCAGAACTCGACATATGCAAAATTCTTTAGTTAGCTTCTAGAGTTTCGATCTACTGTCTGGATACTATTTCTATTTGTCATCGATGATCGAATCAATGACCATCATGTTAAATCGTTCATGCGCTGTTGAACTATTAATGTTTATCAATCGAATCGACCGTTTATTGAACTTAATTTTCTTCAATGGATTATAAAATATGAGAGAGAGAGAGAGAGAGTAGAAGCCGTAACTTGGATTTTAATTTGTGCAATCATTTGAATGAATAAAATAAATTTTTTTCTTTATACGACAAAAGAATAAACACTAGCACATACTTACCGACTATGTTTACAGGTCATTTTTCAAATTGATGATTATTTCTTCTATTCTGTATGCTTTATATTCTAACTTGCTAAAGGATAGAGTTGCTTTACTAACCATTTTAAATCTTGCAAAAACTCACAGTATTAACAATCTATTTCACATGTTTAGAAAACAATAAAAATTCTTGTTATTGTTTTTTCTCTACTTATAAATTAGAGATTTTAGTTTCATAGATATTCCATTAAACGTCTTTCAGTTTTGGTTATGTAAATAAAAAAACCATATAATTAATTTTCTTCTTTATTTTCATTAAAACAACATTTTCAGTCTTTCAGGTGAATAATCAAAAAGAAAACAAATTCAATTACCTGTATGTAGATATTAACCCTTCCTTTATACATATAGATCGAACCAAGATACCGTCAATACCGTATCAATTACCGAAACTTTTGTACCTAAACGTCATTTATTAATGTCTAAACGAAAAAATAAAAATGAAGAAGATGATAAAGACGATGAAGAAGATGTTGATACAACACATAACATTCGTCGAATGAATTCTCTCGAAGAATCTACCGATCCAATTCTTATCGTTCAGTCATATGAGAGTGGTTTATATAAACCTCGTGTCGGTTGGCAATTTCGTTATCGTGTTTCTCGTTATATTGATTCATTACGTGAAAATATTCGTGAAGATCAAGAACGTTTAAAATTAGGTTTACAAGCTATTAAACATAAAACACCACAAGTATTAAGTGGTAAACGTAAACGTGTCTTAGATAAACCACTTGTTCCTAAAGCAGATAAATTAAAAAAAGAAGACGAAGAAGAAGAATTATTAAAAACTGTAGAAGTAATTCAAATTTTTTTTAGGTTGAATTAAAATAAAACAAGCAAATTTCTTTTCGTTTTACTTCTCATTTATAGGACAATAAGCCTCATGTTGGTTGGCGTTATCGATATCGTATAAATAAAATGGTTGAAGCTAAAAAACGTGGAGACTATATTAATGATAAACAAGAAAAACTTCAAGAACGTCTTGAACAAGAAACGAAACAATCAAGTTCAAAAAAATCTCAAGATGATGAACATATTCTAGGAGAAACTTGTTTTGATCCTGAATTATGTCAAATAAGTCCTGAAGGTCGTCGTGTTGGTTGGGCATATCGTTATCGTATTCGTCGTAAACTTGATGATTTAAAACGACAACAAGCTGGTAAATTTTAATTTTATCATTCAGTTTTTATAAAACTTCTTTGTCTTTTTTTTTCTTTTGTTTGAATAATTAGAAACTGGAATAACATTTGATTTACGTACATTAAGTGTTAATGGTGAAGAAACAGTTGATCAACCAGAGCTAAAATCCACAGAAAAGAAAAAACGAACTGAATTCGTTGAAGAAAAATCAATAAACAAAACAAAATCTGTTGGTTGGCAATATCGATATCGTGTATCAAAAATGCATGAAGCACAAAAACATAATAAATCAAAAACATCAACAAAAAAAAAGCAAAATAAAACATCAACTCAGGAACAAATTGATCCAGAATTAGCACGACTTACACCGGAAGAACGAAGTGTCGGATGGAAATATCGGTTAGTTATATATATATATTCTTGGAAAAAAATTTGATGTTTTTGTTTTGATTTCATTATCTATTTAAGTTATCGTGTTCGACGTAAACTTGATGCATTAAAAGAAGATGCTAATCGTGAAAGTGGAAAACGTACTAAAAAAGAATCATTATCATCGAAAAGAAAAGAAAAAGAAAAACTTAAAGAAAAAGGTGAAGGATCATTTGAAAAAATTCTTAACATTAGCAATATTGATGGAACATCATTGATGGGATATTTTCGTCGTGCATCATCCTATGTTTTATATGGTCTTTTACCATCAGCAAAAAAATCGATTTGTCTTTTACCATTACCTATAACATTTTCTTTTTGTAAAAAAGAAAATACTGAACAAGCAGAAACAATAACAGACAAAACAGAACGAATTCGAATTAAAAAATTAAAAACAAGAAAGGAACAACGTGCTAAACAATTTATACGTTCTCATATAACGAAATTAGGCAAAGATGATAAAGTTACTGAACGACGTGTTGATGAAGCTATGAAAGATTTATATAAAAAACCCTCATTACCACCTTTACAAATACCACCATCAACTCAAAAAAGCAAAAAAACTCGAAAAAAACATCATAAAAATTCATCTAAACGACCAAATCAAGATGAACAAAGAAAACATTTTAATAAAAAACATAAAACAAAAAAACAGATTGGAGTTGAATCGAAAAAGAATAAAAATAGAAAACGTTCTCAAATTATTGGTCGAGAAGTTAAAATTAAACATAAGCACAAATCTTGTCCGTTTGCTGTTACAATAGCACCTCCAACTAAACCAACTTCTCAACCACCTTCGTCTTTTCAACGTCTTCGAACTCTTTCCGAAGTTATCCGTGAAGAAGCGGTAACTCTATTTGGAGGAACATCAAAATCCTCGAAAACACCTGAAGATATCAACGACAAAATAAACGAAGCCAATGAAATTATACAAGAACGTTCAAAAGATCAAGCGAAAAAACCATCACCACCATCGACTCCTATTGATAGTACAATATCTAACAAAGAAGATCAATCGATATTAAGAGATAAAAATAAAAAAAAAACATAAAGAATATACGAAAGAAAGTATGCATGATATGATTAATTCATAAAAATATCATGATAATAGTTTTTAGACAAATTATTTTTACCTTCTTTTTTTAATAAAGAAGATGCTTTTAAATATTATATATATAATTAGTTTAAATATGAGAATATTGTAATGAAGTCAATGAATTAATTGATAATTGGGATTGTGTATCAATGGATGATGATTCTTCTAAATGATTGATCATTTCATTTGAATTAAGATATTCAATAGAAATCAGTTTATTAATTCGTGATGGACGACTACACTTTGTACAAACAAAAACTAAAATCATAGTTATCGATATGAGAATGATAGAACCGACAAATGATATAAATATGATTAATGCTTTCTTTAATCTATTTGTTGTACGTTGTTGATTATTATTTAATATTGTTGATACATTAGTAATTGTATCAGAGAAAATCAATCTATCATTATTATATGTAACAAAGTTTCTTTTTATTGATTGTAGATGTTCATCAATACGTTTATAACGTACAAATAAATGTCGACGATTTAATTTAAAAATATCTGATCGATAGAGAATAATTGTTGACTGACATGTTGAATAATAATTTGTAAGCATAGAAAGCCAAATTTTAAATATGAGTTGAAGCATATTTCAAACCTTCAGTAAACAACAATTCCTAACATTAGAAAAAAGAATATCTACCCGCTTTTACTTTATATTAACATTTGGATATGTAAGAATTTATTTCTTGTTAGCAATATTTTGATTAAATTTAAATTAAGTCCGATTTTTAATACATTTAAAAGGGTGAAGAAAGTCTTTTTTCAATGAATACCAAGAGAAAAAAACCGTATTCTCTGATCTAAATCTTATGATCAATTACTTTTGCATTGAAATGTCGTTTTTTAGAAGCGTTACTCTGGCAAGTTAGTGTCTACACCAACTGACACGTTTTCGTCATTACAACATGCGTTTCAATATTGATGATTGTTTACGTCTTGATGCGAATACTCTAGACGAATTTCTTTTTCTCAAAGGAACAATTCAATGCAGTAATTATGTCTCTGTGTATACCGCAATTATGTGAAAGAATAAACAGAACAGAATGTATAAAGATGAAACGACTGATGTCCATAGGAATGTTAATGCCACATTGCTTATTATATTCTTCCCAAGAGGTAAAAAAGATTCCAATTGATCAAAATACATGTTGAAATGATGATATACAGTAAATCAATGAGAAAAAAAATGTCTGCCCAACCAATACTTCTTTAACACCAAAACTTCAGGAACTACTTTTCAAACATAACATGTGCAAATCTTATCAATACTTGCTAAGAATAATTGTTTTATTTTTATTTTTTTTTGCGTTATGAATATGCTACTCGCCGAGATCAATGTTACCACAAATCTGTGCAATTTCATTATTGAAACATCTGTTTGTATTAAGTATAATAATATATCCCTTGATATAAATTTGGTAAACAACTTCTATATTTCAACGTCATCAAACAACAATTCTTCTGTCCTGACATATTTTGCTGTTGTCTTTTCTTCTTTCTCTATGACATCTTGCAATATATGCTGATTGTTTTGCATTATTTCTCAACAAATGCTATCGCTTGTTATATTTTTGCACTTAAATAAATAACTAACTCTGATCAGCATACCTGTTGCAATTACGAACTTCAGTGGACTGGAGAGTATATTAGTCTACCTGAGCAACAAGCTTATTGAACGAAAATACTATGCCATATTGTGAAAATAACGACACTTACTGACATTTTTTTTTATGAAACTAAGTTGAAATTCAATTTCTTTTTCTTTCACTATTTCATATTTTTATCTTCTTTTTAAAGCATATTTTCTAAAAGTTCTTTTTTTTGTCATAACGTCAGAAAAACAGTCATAAAAAATAAATTAAATAAATAGAAAATTGTAATTATCAAATATTAATCAATGAAAATTACCAAATATACTAACATACCAAATTTTTTTTTCATGCATAAAATGCGTAAAATTTGATTGCAATTATTAATAAATAGTAACAACAGACAGAATATTATTTTTTTTTCAAATGAAGTGACTGTTATTTTAATCGTTAGATACAATATTTATAAGATATTTATTGAAGATTTCGTTGAAATCAAAATGATCATCGATAAAAAATATCAAAACAATGTATTCAAATATTTCAATTAAAGCTGATCTTTTATATCATAAATAAATTCTTCTTATATATATATGTAACTCCAGAGAGATCCCTATCTTTTAATTAGTAGTATTCAAGATGATAAATTATCTTAAAGATTTGATGTTCTTTTGTTCATCAAGTAATAAATATAAAGATGCCTACGAATACGCTAAGGACAAGTTATCTTAATTAAGATAAAATATGTTACGAGAAGATTCAATTAAGATAAATCGAGTTATCGTCAATGATCATCAAATATTATCAATAGAATCATGTATCCAGAGAATTTGTTTTGATTATATTTTACTGTTAAGCAATTAAAAATCAAGATAAAACTTTCTATCAATAAATATTGATCAATACTTGGAAATACAGAAGAATATGCATATCAATAACTATCTGAATTCTATATTTATCTATGTTTTGTAGATAAATATCAAAATATAATAAAAAAATTTCTACTTAATTGATTTTTTTCTTTAAGATTAGTTTCTTGGAATACTAATTAATTCATATCTTAATAAATGACTTATTGTTAACGACTTAAATGAAATAACTCTGAATGACAATTTCAAATCTATTGGTTTTAGTCATTCTTAAAATAAATTTGATATTTAGTAAAGTCTGATATCATTTTGTATGATCGATTCGTAAATCTCATTGAGAAAAATAATAAAATATACTTGAAATATATTTACGACATGATATACGACAGATTTGCGACATTGTTCTTTTGATTGTCAAAAAAATTATTATTCGCGATTTCGAGCAAGATGAAACATATAAATATTTTTTTTTAATTCTTGCTATAAAATAAATCGTTGGTAAAAATGAAAAACGATTACGGATGAATTGATTTATGAAGAAAAAGATAGATAAATGACAAAAGTATTTCTGTAAATACTTGAGTTTTTATCTTTCGAATTTTTTTTACAGTCATAAGAAAGATGAAAGAAAAAGTTTACTGTCATTAAGTGCATATTATATTCATTAAAATGATGATGATTTATTACAGAAACTTAACTCTTGTACACTAGTGTTGTCAGTATGCAATAGGCTATATTTCGTCAACGATTGATATGTTTATTAGAATTGATTGTATGCCTGTTTGTAATAGCATCTAGAGTCAAGTGTTATTATCTATATACAATCTCTTCACAAGTATAGTTGCTTATTGAATGTTTTTGTTAAGATGTAAATAATCAATATATATATATTGCAATGATGCAAATATACTGACGATGTCAGCCTGCTAAATATAACACATAACTCATTTTATTTACATGAAGTGATAAATCATTAATTGAACATTTCTATATTCTTTATTTATATCAAATCTCTTTTGAGTCTAAAACAAGATGGTTGAATTTTCATAGTAAATACACAAAATATTATCAACAAATTTTAAGAAGTAGCGTAATCAAGATTTTAACGATACGGGTAAGGCTCAACTTTCTTAACCACTCATGTTGATTACGCCATTGTTCTTAAATGAATTTTATTCATATAATATGAAAAAACAACAAATAATCTTTAATCACGCTCATAAAGTGTTAGGAAGTCTGGCAAGAGTGCTGATCGAGGATTTGCATCAAATGGTATAATGATGACAGGTTTAAATGGTGGACCAGATATTTTGTGTGTTGTACTTTCACCACCGGACAAACTACAAAATAAACAATTTAAACTTTTCAGTTGTAAATAGATTTTCGAACGATAATTCTTTACCTATAAAGTAAATGTAGAACAGAAGAATTAATACCACGATTAACAATAATTAATCGATCAATAAGATCACATTCACGTAGGACATTAACAATAGATTTATCTAATCGAAAAAAAAGAGAAAATATAGAGTAGCAGAAAAATAAATGTCCTATTATACTTTGTCGTAAATCTTGTCGATCGAGCTCACTTCTAGGCGGTCCAAAAATACATGTTAATGAAGCATTTTTCTTTTTATTCTGTTCAATTTTTGTTAATATTGTTTTAAATTCATCTTTTTTTGTACAAATACTAAATTGAACATTTTGTGTATGTGCTAGAAGAAAAATCAAATGTTGAAAAAAGAAACAAAAGAAATTAATCAAAAAAGAAGAAAACCGATTACGATATTTTTCTTGTGTTTTTGTTGCTGTTTTTATTGCAAATCGACTTGGATCAAGACCATAACATTGATCTGCATGTTGGCTAGCAATCAATGGTAAAACACCTAAAATATTTAATTTATTATTCAAAATTAAATACAAAACAAACAAAACAAAACAAACCAATATCAGAATAATATTGAAGAAATACAGTTGATGTTGGGTCAAAATTACATAATTTTAATACTTCACCATAAATTGATTCATAAGCTGTTAGATTTGATATTCCATAGGATTGTAAATTTGGTTCAAATTTCATATCAAATAAATCATAATGAAATGCTTTATTTTTATCACCGATAATCTTTTCATAGGATGTTTCATTAACAATAATTGGCCAACGTTGAGATCTAAATTGAAGCAAGTAATATCAAAAACAAAAAAAAGAAAAATAATAAAATTTTACAAACCGTCGTTCAAAATATAAATGATCTATATGACATTCTCGTCCTGGACCATTCTCAAAATATTTTAATAAACGTTCTTTAGCTGCTTGACGTTCCTTTTAGAAAACAGTATTAAATTAAAATAAAAACAACAACAAAAACAATACTCAATCTTACTGAATTATTAACTTTTCGATCAAAATAACCAATAACAACAATTTTTTGATCTTTTTTATTTGTATAAATACGTATTGGTCGCCAATGATGTAAAACATATTCAG